TAGCACGGAGTTTTGCCCGGAGCTCTTTGCGAGTTTCATTGTGTTCACGTCCAGCCGGGATATGCCGGCGAGCGTTGATAAGTTCCAGAGACCGAGAAGAGACCCAATGTCCATGTTGGCTATTAGACATACCACATGAGGATTTGCCTGCTGCTATTAAGGTCTGGCGAACATATGACCAGTGACCATCAATTGTCTCCAGTGAGCGATTACTCAACTCGCATGTCAGCGTACTTCGATACGCATTCAGAACAGCTGGCTTTGTCAGTTGGCTGGTGTCAATGCGCTCACATCGTCGTCGTGGGCGTCCGCCAAAACGCATGCACATGTCAGCACATACAAGTGCATGATCGGTGTCCACACATGTGCTCCAAATCGAGCGACAATTCTGGATGCAGCCTCTCCAGCGGTAACTGCTTGCAATGTGATCGATCCGCGTCCAAGGCTGGTTCGAGGCTGGTGGGCGCCAAGTCACCCTCCGGCGGGTGCTGTGTCGGAAATTAGTGCTCGCAAGAAATAAGCGAGCATCTTCACACAAATGAAGTAACTGCTCACCGTTATCATTACGGGAGCCTACACCATCTTGGTCGCCCAGATGCAGTTCATCAGTGGACAACTTTTTAACTTGTGCTTTCATATCCCCGCCAGCACAACAGTGTCCATGCTTCTTCTGTGGCGAAGGAGCTGGGTCAGTTGGCGGTAGAAGTCGTTCTTTACCGAATCATCGCTACAGGTTGTGGGCGCATAGGTAGCGATGATGACTAGACATCTATTAGTCCTGCGCGACTTCGAACCTTTAAACGAGTCAGCCAATCGGACCGCACACATCCGGCTATTTATTGGGATCCAATCAACCAGAGCGGCTTCATCCCGGGGACTCAGGGCAATGCCAACACCAGCTTGGCCGGTGCTCGAGGCTGCATCGTCACCGGATAGGCGCAATGAGAAAATACTGCTTGCGTCACCTGAAGGAGATCGCAGAGTGAGCACAGAGCTCGAGTCTTGCAGGCGAGTCTCTGATAAGCAGCAGATATCGATCGAGAGGGTCTCTAATGTTCGGGCAAATGCTGCCTGTTGACCGATTTGTAGCAGTGTGCGTACATTGAGGCATGCCAATCTGAAGGAGGATCGAGGGCTCCAAATGGAAGCCGATGAACTGGAATGGACCGCTTGGTTGGACATGGGCTTGTCGACAGGAGAGGAGTGACGCTCCGCGTTCACATGTGAGTTGAAATTAGGAGATAAATGCCTAGCAAAGCATGTTGGCGGAGGACCAAGAATCGGGGGTTGAAAACTGGGGGGATATAAGTGAAGTTGGAAGGGGACGGTAAGAGTGAAAAAGCGTAAGAAGTGGAATAAGAAAACGGGAAGGCTTGAGCACTAGCATCCAAACCCCTATCCACCCTGCTCGATGCAGCAGATAGGGCACCATTGATTATCGTCTGCGGTGGCCAGAGCATCAAGAAATTGTTTGAAGTAAGATTCATAGTATTGCGTGGGCAGGATACTGTCAGATTTCCCAGGCCTAGACAGGAGAACGATTAGGGTTCTCAACCAAAGCCTTTGGTTCAAAAACCTGACCGCAAGGCAGCGGGTTTGGCGTTGGGCTACAAGGAGTCCGTTTTAAGGAATAAGGTGCCACCCTCATTTCAACCCCCAACCTGGAGGACCAGGTGACTGAGTTTGTCTGGCCTCTAACCATTGACCAATCTGGTATGAGTGACTCTGAATGTGCAAAAGCACCACCCAGCATAGCTTAATGGATCGTTGAGGCGCACAAACCATCGCACCACGGTAAGGTCCAGCCTCATTGCGATGGGTGTGAAAAGGAAAGTCACTAACAACGAATCTAAATACCGTTGGTTTGTTTTACCCTTCAAACTGGAGTCCACTGCGTTCCTCCTTTCATCGTTTCGTGCTGTAATTGTATATCTCTGAGTCACCAGCAACCATGCACTTACTGTCGCCTCGTAGTCAGATTGCTTATCTAAATGGTGTCTTATACTGTGTTCTCTGTAGGATATAGTTGTGTTTGACACAGGGTAGTGAAAGCTTCAACAAATATGTCACGTCAACACTATCTTATTCTTACACGATGAACAGCCTTGATGCCGCCTGTTTGCTCACATTGTTTGACTTTTACTTTATGCCCTCCTCCTCCTCTTAGTACTTCTCTTTTCCTATGTCATGTGGTTGTTTGGTGACGAAATATCGGCTTAAATTGCTGATGCGCCCGTGTTACTGATGAGGATTTCTTAATTTTGTGACTACCTGTCTCATCTCTATCGATTTGCATCAAATTGGTCAGACCATTCCGTTTGGCTGTGCCTCGCACCGTCGAGGAATATACGGTTATTTCCTTATTTATTAGCACTGATATTACTGTTGCAACTATTTAATATATATTCGGAACCTAAACGTTCAGTCCGTATTTATCTACAGCTTGTCTGTTAAGACCTACAGAATACAACTGAACGCTTACTTGATTCCGTCTGGAAAACACAAGAGCGAATGCCACAGCACAAAGTGTATCAGCACAATGAACAGAATACCAAGCGAAACAGGGAGGAAACCACACCAGTAGCAGTTGTCCTACAGTCAAACGCACATTCGGTTAAACAGGACCTCGGTGGCCCGAGTTGTGTGAAACAGGCGACATGAACAAATGTATCACAACACAAAAACGTAATATTCGGATTTTAGGCACAGATTGTTTCGACTTGTAAAATAATACGATTCATTTCTGAACCACTCCATGTTCCGTTTTTGCGCACAGTCACAATACTCCTAGCATTTCTTCTGGCACCAACCATTTCGTAGCTCTGCGTTCAATATTTATCACAAGAACGTTTGTTTGAGTTTATCTGTAAACGTGCGGTTGGCCTCCGCATCCGATCAGTACAACGTCTTGATTGCTAAACCCTTTATCCCGATACTACTGCGCACTTCTCGTCATACACGCGCGGAGTTCTAGGGGGTATGTCGAAAATGTTCAAGAGAAGATCAAATGGCAGATATCGCTTATCTATACTCAACTAATTTGTGTGTCTGGTCCGACTTAAATCACCCACATTGATTACGTGAATCACTTTTCCCATTTTGCTCTGAATCGACACTGTTGTCCATAGAGGTTTATCCATGCGATAAACTCGAACCAATATTTCCTCTCCCGAGTAAACTCGACACTTGGGTACTATTTCTTTGCTTGTAATGTTTTTCAATTTTTACATTTCTTACCTGCGGGACAGTACCCCTTGGCAGCAGTAACGAGTTAACTACGGGTGTTCCTTTTCATGAGTTTCTCTGTGGGTGACACGTTGTTTGGCACCAGAGAGTTTGAGACTGATCTGTATCTATGCAGGAAAATATCCAATATCTCCTGTGTGCTTCCATTTCCCCGCTTTTCAGTAGTGTTGGTTTGAACTTATCAACAAAATGTTCCGCTTGTCTATTGGATTGGGAACGGAACGGAAGTGAGCACAAATGTGTACTACTGACTTTGATCCGAAGTTTGCCAGCAGCGGTTTGTGCTCAGTAAGAAGATTAGACTTTTCTCTGTACAACATCTTATGGTATCTCTTCACTGCGGAAACTATCGCTAGGGTTCCCTTTCCCATCTGCGAATTTGTGAGAAATAACTATCCCAACGCCATAGTTCAAAGCATCTACAGCCAGCGCAATTTCTTGTGTGGGGTCGTAGTATGTTAACAAAAACTCAGAACGTAACATCTTTTTACCCTTAAATGATTTTTAGCGTTCTTCAGGCCAGTACCAACGTTTATCTTTGCCCAGAAATCGGATCGCACACGCGATACATCTGAGGGAGATATGGAGTACAGAGGCTAATGAGACCTAAGAAAGTTCTCAGCGTCGAAACGTCTTTAGGAGAGGGCATTTTCTTAATGACATCTACGTTGGCCTAATCCGGACGTCTATCATCTTTGTCAATAATGAAACCGAGGAACGTACTTGCCTACATGAAGGATGTGCATTTCTCCGGATGAATTCTGAAACCATACTCCTGTATACGACTAAGCACTCAATCCAGCTTTTTGTAAATTTCATCTACACTCGCTCCTACAACAATCATGTCCAAGTATGCGGCAGCGCCACCGACATCGGTTACATGGTGTCCATAATTTATCGAAATATGGCTGATGCAGATTTGACACCGAATAGAAGCCAACGATATCGATACAGACTTCTAAACTTGTTTATATTAAGCAACTCTCTGGAGGTTTCACAGACTTTCACAACTTTTCACTTGATAGATCTATCTGGTTTTTCGGAAACTTATTTTCTTTTTTGTATGACAATGTAGGACGACTTTCTTATAGTGAATACATATTTTATTGAATCATATATTGTTCATTCTGGTCCAATATCTTTTGCTATCTTTCTTGCAGTAGCTTGATTCCATCCTCATAAAAGATTTGTTCTTTATCGGCAAAAAAACTGATCCTGCTGATTTTTGACCTCCCCGTTTGAAGTAAACTTTTTACCGTCTAATAAATTTTGTGGAGACGGGAACAAAAATACTAGTCAACTACAAGATCTGGAGCAAATGGTGGGTATGGCAACGTATCTCATCCAAGCTGTAAAAGGTTTTGTCGAGTTACGCGTGTGTCACGCGGCTTAGCAATCTCAAACAAGCGGTGCGAACAAATCCGGTTTTGGGTAGGTGTCATCAGCCCTGGGCCAGAGGAAAGCATGAAGATAGAACAAGGGGAGAGAAGCGGTTTCGCTGTGCATAGAACGGTAATAATTGCTACAGAAGTGTGACATGGTGGCTTTGTCCCATGGCGGATATTAATTCTGTCTTGTCTTTTATTTGCACTACACTTGCTACACTGTTCTTTTAGGCGTAATTTAATACTCCAGCAAACTTGTACTAATGGCCTATTCCCATGTGAGGTGAGACATATTATCTTTGGTATAATTGGCCATGCAACCTCATTCGTTTCCGCTGATACCTAGTCTCCTGTTTGCTTCCCTTTTAGTGTCCTGGATTCATGCTTCCAGTGTGCCTACAGATATCCGTCTTGGACTGGTCTTGCGATGGCGAGAATACGAGTCGAAATATACAATGCCACAAGGATGCTGTATTTAATTGGTCCTATACACTTCGGCGCCAGCATTTTTCTTCAAGCTGGAAAAATCGACCACTCCTTGACTCTCTGTTGCCTAGTCTTCGGAACTATGGTTCTGATCACGAACCTTTTGAGCCGGTCACAGGTGTGTCCTCTACGTATTTTAGCTTCTTAGCAGTAGTGCGCAATGCCCTTTGTTCTACTTTGTGTCTGTTACGCGTTATCCTTTGCCTTGTGTGTTCCGTCACTGCAGCGAATTTCACATTAGCATCCACTGGCAAAGGTGCAGTCAGAATGGCTTCCGAACAATTTACGATGCGCTGTATGAAGAGGAGTTTTGACCGATGCATCTATTTCCTCGCGTCTAGCCAGTACCTATGACGGTAACATCCGAAGTTGTATGCATTTGTTAGTGGGCCTCTAGAGGGTCTGTACAGCAATCTAAGGCGGAACGATAATTGTTTCTGAACACATTGCCCTTTTGTAGCCCCACGGCATCAGCGAAACAAAGTAGACTAGAATTAGTATGATGCAGCAGAGTTTTGTACACTTTGTTGACGTCAATCCATTGACCCCAGCCCATTAACTTTGTGCCGTTGGAAGGTACTGGTGGCATATGTGAACGCTTAGTCTCAGATTGGTGCACTTACTATAGACATTCTACTTGCCATCTGTCGGATCTTTTAGGTCGAATCCAAGCAGTAGGTAAATGGTCAGGCATATTTACGTCAATGAATTGAGTCCACCAGTGTTGTTCCGTGTCTCAGTTTCGCCCATTGTTTTATTGCGTAATTCATCGCGAACTGCTCTGTAAAGTCTCATTTAACGTTCGCCTGTCGAACGTTGGGACGCGTGCGTGAGCCCATTGTTCAGAACTCTGACCAAGCTTAGATCACAATCTTTACTGTACTATTACAAATATACAGTTAAGGGCACTGGGCAAACCTCAAGCGTTCCGGATCCCGGTATATCAGCATAAACAATGGGATGCAATTAAACGCATTGGGATGAAAAATGAACAGTCTAAGCAACTATTCAAAGCAGACAGCCGGAGGACAAATGAATACACGACAAATGCGTGAACCTATTACCAAATTCACAATAGCCGATCACCAACCGTCTACTCACAATGTGGAAAGGGTGTGTGGGTGGAGTACACACGTACAGACCGAAAGCGCATCGCTCAGAGAACGTGGCAGCACCGTGTTGATAGGGCCACCACACCAGGTGCATATAGGTTTGTTACATTCAGGAATAAACATTCACTTGTTTAACTTAAAAATTCCCATTTAAGTTTCAAATACAAGAGACCATTTGATGAGCAAGTGTTTTCAGTGATTCCTCTTCAGACTATTGCAGTTATATATAGGGACAAAAAAGTAACATCAACCCAGTTGGTGTAAGTTAGATAAGATTACGTGAGGAACATTGTCGGAGACGAAAAAGCGAACTACGCCTTAATTGTGTTACTTGCAAGTTACGGAGTGCGACCTAAGTCATTTGACCTCAGTGTCTTCCGTTTTCGCTGGCCAGAGAAGCTAAGGCGCTTGTACCAGCTTTTTCTGCGAGTATAAGGACGGCTGAAGCAATCTAATGCTAATTGCTTCGATCCTCACAAGTATAGGATAGTGCTGACTTTTTGGTCGGTTCGGAGGAACCATGTATATCGTTCCGAAGGCATACTTTGGATCCACATGATGCCAAGTGCCGACGATATGGGCCAGAACGGAGCTGCCATTGACCCCAATGTCACCCAGATTGACTCTCATGTGGATGATTTATTCATTTAAATTGAAATAAGATCAATTATCGCAATAGATTTAGAGACCAAAAAGGCATAAATTAGTGGTGCACGCAGTAACAGTGCAAGAATACAAGGAGGAAAAGTGATCAAAACAACCGTGCTTAACTGATTACTTTTTCAATGTATGGGCGATCTCGCATGAACGTGGCAAGGTCAAATGGACAAAATTGAAAGTACTCTAAGTGAGAGCCCAGGAAACGATTCAGAGAGTTTTCCGCCACACTGCAGTAATACGTTACACTCAATACGGTTTTGGATAGTTTACTTAGTTTACGCTATCAGCCCAGTGTAGTAACGATGTCTGATGAAGGCTGTTGCTGGAAGGCTTGGGAATATTTGTGATATGGATGTAGCTGGCAAGACCACAGCGAACCCGAAGTTACCTTCATCGAGTTGGCTTACAGCATAACCATGGTAGGTAATGAAGGATCGGACCGGTATTAGGAAAACCAGTGAAAGAACGGGAACGACCATAGTACTTTTCGTTTGAGGAGTGATTCACGGAGAAAACGTCAGAAGCCGGAGCTAATGACAATCTTATTTGTCCATGAGCCATTGAAAAGAAACTTGTTCGCCAGTTCCCGCTTCTGGTGTGTTTTCGCTTATTCACCTCATTGTGCACGACAAGCGAGGCTGCTCCTGGGCAGTTGCCCTGTGGGCGTTGCAGGATAACACTGTGACTGTGTGGGATGGTCACGGTCGTATTTGGAATCGAATACTGCCAGGGCAGTCACACTCAGACAGCAAAACGACAGCGATACTCTGCCAAATCGTGTAGTTCAAACGTTAAACTGAAAGGTAGCGGAAAACTGCAGCAACACACAAAACGGGATGTTTTGAAGAGAATGGGCGTCACTCCACTTGCAACTCTCGGCGCGAGGGACCCAGTGACTGCATTTGTTCGGCCTGTAACAATTGGCCCGTCTGACAGGGACGCCTGAAGGAGCCACTGGGGTGAGATCAGTAGATTGGAGTTGTATACAATCCATCACAGCGCATTAATCATCTGATTTCGCTCCAGATTTTCTAGCTGTGAGGCCTGCCGGAACTGTGTTCCTTTTCTTCTATGTGTTAATTACATCTTCCCCTTCTGTGCTGAGACTCTCAGCTGCAATTGTACCTTCAACCGTGGTTTTTGCAAGAAACCAACATGTTCGCTACGCTTACTTGTGCTAGCTGTTGTTTGTTATGATCATTATACTTCGCGTGACTCACATGCGATTCTATGTTGCAGTGGCTCTGACACATCATCATCCGCAGCAATACATCAGCCATTTAAACTGATGTTTCGTTGCTATACAAATTTGTTGACCTATGGAACGAAAAATACTAGGAGGGAGAGAAGATGGACGGAATACATTATGCCTTAAACAGACAGGATCAAGGCGCCTACACATTTACAACAACATATCATCATAAACGCCTGGCTATCGTGCAAACTTTCGGCGACATCTGCGAGACACCTTCCTTGCGGTTTTCACTGCTCCGCGTCATAATCCGCCATTACCCCGCAGATAACAGCACCAAACACACTTTAAACAGGTAGTCTGACTAGGAGACGGCAGCAGGCGCACCACTGTTGTCGGCTGCGAGCCATGTCCTGTAACATCTCCAGCCAACCAGAAGACGAATCACGTGGACTCTGGTCTGAAAGGTGAGACGAACCGACGGCACCCAGTTTGGTAATCGGTGACCAGGTATACGTAACACGTGCCTAAGCCAAAGCAACTTGTTCGAAAGTCGCCTGGTTATCACTGCCTAGTACTCGCCTACGCATCTCATCGTTGAGGACGCGCTGCTGCAACCCGACACCAGCAATGCTTCACAGACAGCGATGATCAAAGAAGTGAAGACGCCTCAGACCGAAGGTGCCAAGTTTCATTCCAATAGAGTATGAAGGCCGCCACTTTGGCCTTGTAAACACGGCGTTTCAAACGGAGGGAAACTCCCTTCTGTCGCCAGTGATATCGCAGATTCAAAAAGGCAGTTCTGGCTTTCCACTGCGTGAACTGACTTAGCTTCTACGCGCCCATCGTTGCTGATGCAGCTGCAACGGTAAGTAAATCGATCAAACACCTCGAGTTCCTCGTTATTAAGGGTCATCAGTTGGCTGGTTGTCCTGCAACAACACATTACATTTTGAAGGTGTAAAGCGAATACCAAATAATAGGACTCCTCTAGATAGGCTATTCAGGGTTGGCTGGTCCGCTGATAGACAATAAGGAGCGCCGTGTGGCTCGTTGGACGGAACACTTTCAAGATCACTTCAGCTGACCATCTGCTCCCGGACCTCTTCCTACTCAGGTGATGCAGGACGAGCCATGGACGGTTAGTTTAGAGCCTCCGTCGGAGGCCGAGATCCGAAACGCGATCACAGCCCTTAATTGTTTTCGTGCCGCTGGCCCGGATTCCCTCCCACCTGCACTATTTAAGGATGGAAGTGAGGTCCTCTGCAAAGCACTGACCTCCTTATTTGAACATATTTGGAAGGAAGAGAGTGTACCGGCTAATTGGAGCGAATCGATCATAGTGGCAATATACAAAAAGGGCAGTCGCACAGACTGTGCGAACCACAGGGGTATTAGCCTAACTCCAGTTGTGACAAAATTACTGGCCTCGATTATCGTTCGTCGCCTCACTGCGGAACGGGAATCTCGGATTCGGGAAGAACAGGCCGGTTTCCGCCCAGGGCGTGGCTGTATAGACCATATATTCACTTTGCGGCAGGTGCTAGAGCAGCGCCACGAGTACCGCAGACCGACAATAGCTGTGTTTCTCGATTTCAAGAATGTGTTCGATTCAGTCGATCGATCGATTCTGTTCGAAATACTTGCGCGGAATGGTGTTCCCACTAAATATGTGAACATCCTTCGTGCTCTATGCTCGAACACTAGAGGCCGCGTCATAGTCTACGGTGCCCTATCGGATAGCTTTCCGACCACAAGTGGTGTTCGTCAGGGTTGTCCGATTTCGTCGTGGACTCTATCATGGAGTGTTTCCTTGCGGAATCTCGCGATGTAGGCGTTGAAGTGCTGCCTGGTGAAAGGTTAGTTGATCTAGATTATGCGGACAAGATCGCCTTGCTTTTCGACAGTGTTGCGGCGGTCCACTCGACCCTGAATAGCCTCTCTGTAGTGGTCCCATTATTTGGTATGCACTTCGCACCTTCAAAGTGCAAAGTGTTGCTGCAGGACCACCAGCCACTTGATGACCCCTTGACGCGTGCTAACAATGAACAATGATATATTACAGGTAAAAAAGCGATTGCTTTACAAGTCCCGTAGGATGGTTGAAGTGAAAGCAAACATAAGTGTAAATCGTCAGTTTAAGCGTCTAGTGAA